GCTCGGCGAATCTCGCTGCTTCGCAGCTCGAAAGGATTGTAAACAGGGAGAAAAAGGAGAGAAAAAAGAGAAACCTCTGGAGCCAGGGTAGTGATATTACCAAATTACCTTGAAATCAAGGATACGATCAACTGCCGACTGCAGCTTGCTGGTATCGGGAGAAAAGAGAGGAAAGTGTGAAGCCAACCTGCTTTAAGTCGAAAGCGACTTCGGTACCACAGGCAAATCATTCACAGTATTCTTCGCCCGTTGAGGCGTTGAATTTGATCGTTGAGTCAAAATCCCTCAGCCCGTTGAGGTAAATGATTCGACCATTGAGTTCCGTTGAAGCGAAAGAAAACTTGCAATTATAGATTCAAAATGTGGATCGCTCGTTGAAGCTAACCATTGAACTGCAAACTCAAAGGACTGTTTGGGCTTTGAGACAAATTCTGAGTCGATTTCATCCGTGGAGAGCATCTATTCGCCAGACCGTCGAGTCCAATTGCTTTTCAACCTTTGAGTCAAAAGAAAACTTCTCGAACACAAAGTTAAGTTGTCGTTTGCTCAATGACGTTGAACATTCCTCAAAATGTGTGGGTCTTGCCGAAATTAAAGGCGGTTCGCGAGTTTTGAAGAACAAAAGCTTGATTGTGATATTTACAGCGTAAAATATGGAGAGTGCCGACAAGGGTTGATCAATGCGAATGACACCCTTTATCCTTGCCTTTCCTTTTGTTCAGCATTGACAATTACTTTCACAACTTACAAGCAGGCAATTTTCATTTTTACAAATGTCACTTTGACTATTTTCTATTTTAAGTGAATCAAATGGTTCATTTTATACTTTTGACCCTGATGCTACTGAGCTCGAAACGGTGATGGTATGCCAAATTGTAATGGCACAGCAACTGTCTTAAAATTTGGAGATCTGGGTGAACTTGGAACATTCTTTTATTCTTTAGCTAATGAACTGACTTGTGAGTGTTTTGAAATTTATTGCTTTGTGGACTTAAGAAAATAAATCATACTCCATCCTGTGATATTGACAACTGAAGACACGTGGTTCATCAAAAGAGGCTTTCCCGGCGCACCAAACATTTTTTGTTTCAGATCGTATTATTAGTATTTCCTTCAAGCTCTGACACCAGCACCCAATTTCACATTAAAACTCCTAGTAATCAATACTAAGAAAGTAATTATAAAATAGTCGGTGATCATTCGAATTCTTACGGCGGGCGACACAATTGACATTTATTGGACAGCGATTCATGTTTGAAATGTTTTACACTTAGAAAGTCATGAGTAGCCAAAACACCTACGCCATTAATTTTTCAGGAAAATTAGTTTCTCCCTCGATATCGAAGGTAGTTTTTATGTCATTGAGCCCGGCCACGGTTGACCCGTGAAGAAATTTGCCATCAATAGGTATCATTATCAATAGAATGCTTTTTCTTGAGTAAACTAATGAAACGTTTAAGTCTACCTTCTCTTAATAAAGTGGGATCTTTGCCTAGTAGTTTGAATTTAGATTTATCATTAAGTATATCAAAACAAGAGTCTAAATAAATGTTACGGTCTAAAATAACTACTCCATTACCTTTATCAGGCTTAATAATTATAACTCACTGTTTCGGTATTACGTTTCCTGTAGGGTGGTGACCGTCCTTTCACAGCAGAGTACCGCTGTTATGAAATTCCGTTCTTAGCAGTGTACTCTCATTCAATGTCAATCTCAGTCGTTCTTCTCCTTCCGTGATTGCAACTGATACATGAAAAAGTTTTTGGATTTTTTTTCTTATCTCGCTTGATCGGATTTAAAATTCCTCCTCGTTTTCTTCTATAACAGGTATCAGCATGCTCTTTGAAAGAAGAGGTCAGTCTTTTCTTGTCACTGAGTAAATTCGCACCAGCCTTTGGCTTTGAATAAGATATATGAAGAAAAGGGAAATTGACCTGTGTGTATGTGTGTACCTTGCCTAATTTTGGTAGTTTTTAGTTGCAATTAGGTCTCGGTCAAATTGTCGGTGGATTGTTTGTTATAGTGGTGTTATGTGCCCCGCCTGACATTTTTCGTTGCCATAACTCCCCGTTACTAAACATTCTCTTTGCTTTCCACCGTAAATTACCGATGAAGTCTTCAGGTTTATCAAAACGTGGGTCTAATCAGATCCATTTTTTACTCGTCTTGAAAGAATCTGCGTGTAATTTCTCTTGCATCTTCAGGATTGGTTTAGTCGATCACTTCTGCTACATCAACTTGCCGCGCTCGGTTTACTCCGGATGATGTTATTTCACGTTGCCCAAGCGATCGTTGACCCGAAGGAATACTCGAGTTGATGCGGCTGGCTCCAACGAAGGCCGAGCTTTGTCTCCTTGACCGCCACTGATCTATTCGCGACTCTGAGAAACTTCTTGAGAGAGGTTTTACTCTGCCAGTACCTATTCTGCGAGGTATCGAGGTATCGAGGTATCGAGGTATTGAGGTATCGAGGTATCGAGGTATCGAGTTTTGCCGATCTCTTATCACTGATCCGTTGTTTTCTTCAACAGTTTCTGCTTCGTGCAGTGCTGAATGAACCATCGCAAGTTGATCCAATTCCTTTACGTCATCTTCGTTTATCTTCAAAGCTTTGCGAAGGTCCTGTATTTTGTCATCATTTCTTTTCTTCCTCACCCGCGCCATGTCGGCGGTTGCACGTGGGACTGGGACAGAACTATTCTTGTTATCGAGAAATGCTGCCATCTAACACAGACACAACAATTTCAAAGCCTTCGCTTTGGTCTTGATTTAGTTTTTAAACGACCAGTGCCTATTACACTGTTAACTAAAGTAACGTTTATTCCCAAGAGTCTAAGTTCCATTTTTAGTAGCTGCTGTAATAACCTCAACTAACTTTTGCAAAGAATAGAAAATAATGGGTTATGTCTTTTTTGTTCTTTTGTCGGAAAGAACACCAACACTGAAAAACATTCCTCGGCATATGGCACTTCAAATCATTGGTTTTCTACCAAGCTACTAATTCCCTTCATAGAGCTCTCAGACCATGCAGCCTGTCCTGTTCGCATAACCATCGCTTCTTTGGGCTTTCTGGTGCACAAGGCGAGGAACGTCAGCCAGAGAAAGCGTGACTGTTCGAAGGCTATTTAAATGCTTTTTCTTTTTTTTGTTTTTCCTGTCGGCCCGCCTTTTGGCTCAACTCTTTTGTATATAACAATTGTAATTATAATGAAAAGTTTGGAGCAGTTTCTTAGACCTGTAATAAATTGCGCAATGTTTATGAAAAGAAACTAAGGATAGATAGGATGAAAGAAAAAATAGTTGAAAGAGATGTATCGTCAAATAACTTTATACAGGGAGAGGGTTGCTAAGGTGATGCGTAAAACTCTGATCCAAGTGTCCTTGCCACGGTGACACTGGGCAATAGAGTCTTCATTCGCCGGGTCAGTAGTCTTCGACTCTAAAATCTGTTATGAAATACAGCAGGCAGGTGGTGAAACACACTTATGAACATTTTTGTACACAGATATCCTTCTGCCTCGGCAATCAAAGGATAGATTTAAAGGATAGAAATAAAGCAAGGAGGTGTCTCTCAACCTGAATTAGGTAACAATTTAACACTACGAGCAGTCCCTCCTTTTCCGCGAAGTCCCTCGCGCGAGTAAAAAGAATCATGAAAGAAAAAAACACGGATGTTGGCGCGCCGGCGAACTCTAAGAGTAAGGCGCACGGAAAGTCAGTGGGGTCCGGTTCGTAGCTTTTGTGGGCCTCACTCCCAGAGTTCGTAGCTTTTGTGGGCCTCACTCCCAGAGTTGTGCGCTACAGTTCAAAATTAAAATGGGAGGCACTAAATTCTTAGAAAGCTTATTTTAAGGGAGGGGGAAGTGGGGCGACTGAAAGGATATATAGTTGTTGTGGTACATGACCTGTCTGTGGTCTTCGTCGTCTGCTCTCAGAAGAGATAAGATCAATGAGAAACAATTTTTGTGTTGGTTTTAGTATTCCCTTAGGAAAGTGTTGGAAATCCCAGTACAGCAACACTAGTCACTCGCGTAGTTTTTTTCCCTATCTTTTATCCTAGTCGTCACACGCTTCGAATCGCGTCGATCTTCGGCTATTCTTTTTACAAAACCACAATATCGTAAAGACCACCCTTGGTTTCGCGTTGCGAGGTTACAAGGCTGACGTCACTTCTCCGACAGAAAGTATAAGCAACTGGTGGGTGGGACCATTTCTCTCCAAATGTTTTAATTCTGAACAGAAAATTATTTGGATCATGTGTACTGTATGCAGTAGAAGTGCAATAGGCCATTTGCGAATTACTTTTTGGCCTCTTTTTCAAAATGAGGCCTAACGCTCAACCATTCGATTGAAGATGCACGTGAATGAAACTTATAATCATTTCAAAGGATGAACACCAGAAGTTTTACTTAGAGAGGCGTGATAGCTTCACACCTCCCCCACAAATGAATGATACTTACCCTCCTTCCCAAGTGTTGATGATCAAGGAAACCTGTCCAACAAGGGTTCAAGAATAATCCACAATCCAATGGTCCATTGGTCCTGTCGATCTTTTTCCTGCACCATGTGCAACATGACGATGATGTTTTTCTATCATAGCACTATCAGCACCATCATAATCACTTCTCAAATATTTTCCGTTTGATTCACCGAGTCGTCAGAAGTAAATATCTGCAACGTAGTTGCTGGATCCACTCTAGCAATAGTAAGCCAGAGTAACAGGTCCTTATAACTGGATCCACTCTAGCAATAGTAAGCCAGAGTAACAGGTCCTTATAACTGGATCCACTCTAGCAATAGTAAGCCAGAGTAACAGGTCCTTATCGATAGCAATTACACGTAAACCTGATCAGGCACTCGTGACCGAGGGCCACGACATCTCGTCACTATCTTTAACAGAGTAATGCGCAAAATATGGCTACTGGGCAATCGTGACTAGTAAGGTTACAAAGAATTCACCGCTAGGTGCGTCTTTTTCTGCCAACACCAAGAACACCTGTAACCTACTTTGGCAATTTATTATTCCAATTTGTATTTATATCAAAAACATCACCTAGGCAATAAGAAGCTACTCGTAGGCTGATAACATGGCCGACACGCTGTGATATCATCTTGCCAATGTGTGCACTCAGTGTCAGACAGAATACTTGCATAGCATCCTAAGATACAGAAGAAAAATCCGTCTTATCTTTATATAACAAAATGAAGTTAGACATTACGCTGCACTCTCTCTGTATCCAACGCTAATTAGTCGGCTCAAAATGTATTCATTTAGTAAAGTTCGGGAGCGTAAAGAGTTCAACCTGTGGGGCTGGAGGACCTGGAGACGAATTTGTTGACTGAGGTAACTGTCGCCTCGCCTTGCGTGATTTCGACTTTTCCACGTTTAGTTAAGCTTGCGGTTCACTTTGAAGAGAGCCTGACTAAGGAAAAACTTTTTCCGTTGCTAATATAAACAGGAAAAAAATTACAGATTGCACACATACCAAACATCGAACCCGAAATCTAAAACAAAGCCCGACCTTTTGATATCAATACATATTTTTTCAAAAATTTGTTCCACTTGATTTGATATCATCATCACGTAACAGAAGACATCTGTACGCAAGCCTTATTACTATAAAATTTAATAAATATACTTTCCTCCTACTTCCTGTGAGATTCACAAGTAAAACATACTCAACCTATTCATCAAAAACTTCATAAATATCGCTGATCGTTACGATTCCAATTGTTTGGTTAATAATTGTTTAAACAATTAACTCTCCACGCTCCACTATGTCATACTCTGGAACCTTTCAGTTCGTTTGTGGTTTGTTTTAGTTCGGCGTTTCTTTTCTTGAACATGGCTATTTTCTTTTCTCGCTCGACTATATCTTTCTCCATTGCATCTGCTTCCTTTTCAAATTTTTTCCTTTTCATGATCGCCCTGGTGATATTTTCCTTCACGAGCTCCACTTTTTCTACGTACTGCTTTTCACTCAGAGGGGTATAGTTCATTTTAATGCTACTTCCCGCACGCTCGACTGCCCTCAACTTTTCCTGTATCCGAGCCATGGTATCTCGAGCGACCATCTCACGTTTTTCGGCTGCAAGAATGAGCTTCTCTTTAGACTCGATAACCCTCTGCATGTTTGCAATGCTGTCCACAACTGTCTTGGTCTTCTCTCTGTGCTGTTTCACGGTATGTTCCATAGAATCCACGTCCACTTTGTTGTTCTCGAGAAAGCATTTCATGTTTGAGTTTTCATCATGGCGCTGCAGTGCAAAATGCAATCTCTCTTTGCAGTAGCTCTCCTTGGACTCCACTTTTTCAATTTCCTTCTCGACTTCTTTTATTTCGTCGAGTATTTTTCTCTTCTTATTCAGTGCACTTTCCTCTCTTTTATTTACCTCAGCCAATTCCTCTTTCGCCCGCTGTTCTCTCAAATTTTCTTTCTTTGTCGCCTCAACGACCGCGTCCATTTTAGCACGAACCGATTTGATCCCTCTAGCCAGGTTTTCCCTGGGTTCGCCACGAATCGTGCAAGCCATTTTGATTAATTTGAGCGAGGCTCACAAGTCCGTTGTTCCGTCACGCTCATGCGACATTGAATGCGTTGCGATCCACTTTCTCGACTTGAAACGTTCGCTACAGATCACTGACATTAGCCAATCAAATGCCTTGGTTTTGTTCTCGGAAATCAAGAAACTGCCTGTACTTTCTTGATCATCTGTGCGATAGTTTCAATTCGTCTCGGTACAAAGCACAGAAAAACCCAATTATTTCATTAAAATATCAAAGCTTAAGACACAACCGCCATGGAAAGTGCACGAGGACATTCAAATCAAGCTTACTTAGAAGCCAGATTTGCAAATTGCTTCATAGGCATTCCCTGTCAAAGTCAATGAACAGATAACAAAAGCAAATTTGAGTTTCTATTTCTAGTCCTCGTTTGAAAGATGGAACAGCAGGATCTGACAGTTTTCCATTTTAATTTCATTTCGATCATTATCATTTTTTAAAACTTTTTTTAAATTTCTTCTACCAGAAAGGACAAGTTGTTATAAACCACAACAAGAATGTATCAATAGCAAAATTCAATCGCACAGATAAATTCTGGAAGAGTCATCTTTACAGAATCGTCTCCGGACCATTACGGTAAGCCTTTGTTTACACAGTCCAACGATTAGTGTTTTCCGGCAATATCAAAGTGATCCACGCGCCCTAAACTTTAGACAGTTGCACTGTAACCGTATGAGAATCTATTGGAGAGTGTGCGGCAAACTTGGACATGTGTAATCCACCGGCCAACCAGTTTACAACCTAAACTGATTGACAGGACGAGCAACAATTCCGCAAGGCATTAAAATACCCTCAGACCCCTGTGGGGTACATATACGGCACTCCACAATATTAACAAGAACAGATACGAGAAAGCTTCAGAGTTCGATTATTGATAAACCGGTATTGCCACCCACGGCCACGGTGACCCGACATGTTATCTTGCTCTGCATCACGTCGCCCCACTCGACTCAAGTGATTACTTTCTAACCAAATACATATTCGTCTGAAGGTATTTATAGCAAGCTAACTGCTGCATAACGGGAATATATATGATGCCAATGCATCAATATGTAATAGATTACCGTAGTGATTCGATTTAGTGCCCTCGCTCTATCAAGCGCTCTCCACCCCTCAGATTTGTTTTGTTCATAAACGCTCCTACGCTCTGTTCACTGCTAGCACTGTTAGAGTGTATAGACATTGAGATCAACTGTTGATTCATCTTCCTTTAATTGATCACTTAAAGCTTAATTACAAAAACAGTGGTCTTCGTCTCAGTTTCTTAAGTAGTAAGTCCATGTGAGTGCCCTGTTCCCTGAAACGAATGATCTCGTCTAGTCTGAAAATGTTGCGACAATTGCTTGGCTGGTCGTTGTAGCCAAGAAGTACCCTGGGATAAATAGTCCGTTTTCTAGTCTTCTTGATCCTTTTTAAACGAACATCAATGCTTTGTTTCGCACATTCTAGTGTTTCTATAACAACAACAAAAAAATAATAAGCGCCCTGTTTCGAATAAGCGCCCTGCCTTGAGGTACCAAAGTAAACAAGCGCCCCATGAAATCATAACGGAAAGCGAAGATTGTGAGGAGTATAGCAAGGCCGTGACTTGGCTTTATCAACTGACAGGCCATGGCCACCGTGTTGTCCCTGTATTACGTCACCCCCTCTCGACCAATCATATGCAAACTAAAGTTAATTGCATCTTGAATGGTTGAGTGTCCACCATATGCTCAAGTAAGACGACAGGAGGTCTCAGCATTTTTAGAGAAGTTGTTGTGATTCAATGGTGAGCCAAACCACGAGAAAGGAGTGTTTCACTCATGCAAGCAGGTAGAATGATAGAAAATGTACTAGCTAGCGGCACCAGATAATTGTTTTGACAACTTGAAATTTGTGAACTGTCAACTTCTTCCAAACTTGAACTCCACTTATTCTGATTCTGAGCTTGAACTGCCCACATCAACAGGAGACATCCTGGACTTTTTCTTCAAACTTTCCAAAAAGTCTTTGACAAGCACTTTGGGAGGGACAATATCTGAGCAAATTCAACAAACATGTATAAGCCTGTAGCATGCATCACAATAAACACTTTTCAGTTTTGCTGTTACTGACTTTAATTTGAGCTAGGCTTATCTCAAACAACAGCCATTTTTTAAGTAATAATAGTCATGATAATTATAAAAAAATAATATTTAATGACATTTCTAGCCCACTACAGCAAAGTACTGCTTCCCTTGCAAATTACAGATAACAAAGAGGTAACATTAAACACTTATTTGCCAAAGGTCAGGGTGAATATTGTTGATTAGTATATACCATACAACATCTCACATCTGTAATTGAAAAAAAGAAAATTTCTTGAAGAAATAAGTAAATAGGTTTGATTTGCTTATCGTAGAAACTTTGAAGAAAAATTTAAAAATTTAAATTACTCAAAGAGAGCATTTTACCATTTTAGTCAGCAACTTATGGCCAAAAGAGCTACTACTATTGAGAAGTGAGCAAGGTCTGAAACACATTTAACAGGATGACCCTACTTGACAGATTGATGGAATGGTGGAATAGCAGAATGGCAGAATATCCAACAACAGAATGCCTTGTTGTATGAAAGAAAAGTCTCACAAAAATGGAAAATTATTAAAATTATCGATTGAGTGTCAATTTATTCACTACATTCTTGAATCATCTTTCTCTAGTGGAACAAACAGGGCACTCATAAACATGTTGGATGCGACAGGTTTTCTGTTTTGCATGTAAGACAAATCTTCTGCAACACTACCTAGCACCATTATACAACCACTGGTTTTTTTTAATACAGTCAAACTTTGATTATCCAGACTCGTTGGGACTTAAGTAAATGATCCGCATAATTGAGAGTTTGGTTAATCGAAAATATGAATATTAATGAGACAATGTAGTCAAAAGAAATAAAGATAACATGTTTTTAATTCTAAATGTCCACTTCAATGACTCTCCAAATGCTCAATGTTTTGAAAGCAGAGGAGATAATGTGCTGTTTTAAATGCACTTTTCCTGCCTTTAGACATAATCTCTAAATTTTTTACCCCTTAAAGTTTTGAAGATCAAAGCTCATTAAGACTCATGAAAAAAATGGGACCAGAGAAAAAGTGTGGATAATCCAAAAGTCTAAATAATGGAGGTTCAATTGTACTGTAAAACTTGTGCTATATCAGTAGCCATATGCAGTCTAAAACTGCCTCCTTTTGTTATACTGACAGAAATAAACTATTTTTTTGGTTTCTGTATGGCATAAACTAAAAAAAATATTCACCTCTACTTTAGTGACTAATTGTCAATTATAAACCATCACCTAGAGTCTTAACATTGCACGGTCCAAAACCGCCAGACAATTATCATGCAATAACCCCTGACTGTGTTAAAATGTGTTCTCCAACGAGTTCTGCCGAAAAGAAACAAAGCCAGCGAAAGAAGGCCAGCGAAAAAGTTTCATCTTTTGTTCTCTATCATTTTCCAAGGAAGAACATACTCATTTTGTAGAGTCCAGTGATAGCAATATTGAAAAACTGGTTACGAATATGCATCTGCCACCAGTTAAACAGTCTGGCTTTTCTATGAGGGGTTTTTGTGGAATATGAAAATTAATGGGATGGTTACAAAATAAATAAACCCCCTTTAGGCTTACTGGTGTGTCAGCTAATAATGTCCTTTGCTGAGTGATTGTCCTCAAAATTTCAATCTCATTTTTTCTCAAAACTTTGTTTCTTGACCAAATATTCATTGTTCAGACAATCCCTCAGCTGCTGACATTATCAGCTGAAACAACAGCCAACTGAAGTGGTTTATTTACCAGATAATCCCCACCACAAAGTTGTGGGTATTACTAAACAATAGGCTCATTGCAGGACTTGATCACATGATCAATTTTAGGTAAACTTGAAAACAGTTCACTTTTGAAAATTTTGTAACCACAAGCAGAAAGAGCATATTAAAATTAGGTAACCTGAGAATTTTCAGCTGTATATCTCAAAAGTAGCAATTGCAATGGCCGCCAAAAGTTAGAAGCATTTGTATGAGAAAAACAACTTTTGCCCCCGAGTCATGCTGACATGCTTTTCAGTACAAATCTTTGTAAATTATAAAATTTTAAAAACTGTCCTTAAATCTTTCCATTATGCATTTAAGGCTCAAATTGCCTGTTTTGAATTAAAAGGAGATTTGAACCCTGTAATGCTTCAGGAGATATTTTATGACAGTTTTGAAAACTTCAAAATTACAAGGATTTGTGTGGAAAACCATCTCAGCGTGACTTCTATTTCCTGAACTATGTAAAGATTATGCCCCAAACAACTTTTGTTCAATGAAAAAAAAATTTTTGGTCATGTTCTTGTACTCAAGAGCATAAAAACAAAGCTGAAATTTACCTCCAAGAAATTGAAGTGTTTCATCATCTTCCACTACTTTAGCTGCAGTATAGGAACATAGAAAAATTGGTAAAAGAGAACCAATGCCAGGACCTAACACAACTTTATGTGTAGGTGTTAAGCGAGATTCAGATCAAGGGGGAAAAGAAGAAAAGGTTAGAAATTTTCTATTTCATTTTTGAAGGAGCTAGAGCTGAAGTGTTTTAAATTGTGCAACCAAGGGTAGTGAAAACTTGGAACCCCAAAATAATTGTCATTTAAATCTTGCCCCCTTTTACATTCATCCTGAAATGTGCAGTAGGCATAAGTTTCTTATTGTTCACCTTGAATTCCATTTACAAAAACTTTCTAAACCCCTAGCTTTAGGAACACTTATTGACACAAAAATATGACCAAGATTTAGGTGGGTTTTGAGTGACTGGACTCTGTTCACATTCTGTAAGTCTCTTTACTCTGCAAAGTGAAACAGAAAAGTAACCCATGGATCACTTGCAAGATCGCTTAATTGCTCTATTGCATTTATAATTGATAAGAGCAAAGCCCAACTCCATTATTGCACATAGAAATAGAAGGCAGATATTCTAATTGTTTCATCTAATTGTTTCAACATCTTCTGGTTGTACAAAACAGAACAAGAAAGGCATGTGAAGGTGTAGTCTGATCGTCCGGGTGAGTGTAGTCCTGAGAAGGACTGTTGTCGGTGGTAGTGACTGACGTTTCGACAACCTGTGCGGAAGTCATCATCAGAGTCAAGTGAATGATTGTTGTCAGTAGAATGTTCTTATTCCAGTTCATGTGAAATGATCGGTTGGTTTTGCCGTGATGTTATTGGCTGTAAGACTCAAGTGACGTAAGTCGGTCGTGATTGGTCTGTTTCGATCTGTCAGTAAAGTTAGGTTGTTCTTTTTTGGTCGTTTGTGATGTTTATGTCGTGAATGAGTTGTTTGTATGGAGTGGGTAGTTGTTGACATCTGTTTAGGGGAGTCTGTTCTAAGTTAGTAAACCAGCTTTCCAGAGTCAGTCGTTGAAAATAGTCAGTGCTGTAGGTTAGGCATTGCGCAGAGTCCCAGTCAATGCTGTGGTTGGTAAGTCGATGGTGTTCAGCAATGTGATTGCTGACATCACCTTTCCTCGTCGCCTGTCCGTGTTCAGTCAGTCTTGTTGTGGGGTTTCTGCCAGTCTCACCGATGTAGGAGGCTTGGCAGTCGGAACAATTGATCTTATAAATCCTTCCCTGTCTGTTCCTCGGTTCGTCTTTGTCTTTAACGTTGGTTAGTAACTGACGTAGTGTGGTGATGGGTTTGTGGGCGACGCGGAAATTGAAGGGTAGTAAGATGCGCGAGATGTTTTCAGACATGCCTTTTATGTACGGTATGGTTGCTGTAGTCGTAGGGGTTGCAGTGTCATTTGTTTTGGTAGTGGCAGTGGGTCGGTGAGTGTTTTGTCGGATGAAGTCGTTGTTGTAGTTGTTCTTCGTAAAAACATGCTGAAGGTATTTGTTCTGGTCGGATAAGCTGTCTGTCGAGTCGCATACTAGTTGTGCGTGTCGTGTTAAGAGTTCTGATAGTTGTGGCTTTGTGTGACGTAGGGTTGTAGGATGACTCGTCTAGTAATCTGTCGGTGTGTGTCGGTTTCCTGCAAACTGTCGTCCGTAATGAGTTGTCGTTGTGGCTTACCAGGCAGTCTAAAAAAGGAAGTTTGCCATTTTCTTCGACTTCTCTGGTAAACTGTATGTCACTGTTTTGTTCATTAAGGTGGTGGTGGAATGCGTCAATTTCGTCGTGTCGAACGGCGGTAAATGTGTCATCACCACACTACGTCAGTTACTAACCAACATTAAAGACAAAGATGAACTGAGGAACAGACAGGGAACGATTTATAAAATCAATTGTTCCGACTGCCAAGCCTCCTACATTGGTGAGACTGGCAGAAACCTCACAACAAGACTGACTGAACACAGACGGGTGACGAGGAAAGGTGATGTCAGCAATCACATTGCTGAACACCATCGACTTACCAACCACAACATTGACTGGGACTCTGCGCAATGCCTAACCTACAGCACTGACTATTTTCAACGACTGACTCTGGAAAGCTGGTTTACTAACTTAGAACAGACTCCCCTAAACGGATGTCAACAACTACCTGCTCCATACAAATGACTCATTCACAACATAAACATCACAAACGACCAAAAAAGAATGACCTAACTTTACCGACAGATCGAAACAGACCAATCACGACCGACTTACATCACTTGAGTCTTACAGCCAATAACATCACGGCAAAACCAACCAATCGTTTCACACGAACTGGAACAAGAACATTCTACTGACAACAATCATTCACTTGACTCTGATGATGACTTCCGCACAGGTTGTCGAAACGTCAGTCACTACCACCGACAACAGTCCTTCTCGGGACTACACTCACCCGGACGATCAGACTAGACCTTCACATGTTACCCCCGGGTTCAAACCATTTACTGCAAGAAAGGCATAGTTTTTATACTAGGCCAGTCACTCTTCTTACTAACTATCATGCAATAGACACTGAGAAACATATGCAAACAGATTCCAACATTTGTGATAGAATGCTAGTAGATTTATACCAATAAGTTATAGGACACAGTAATATCATTATCAGCACCCTTAATTGTTTGGCTCTTTGATTATTTAAGCTACAAGATTGGTGGACCAGCTGACTGACAACTGACTGTATTTCTTTATGAATGACAACCCTTTCAGATTGTAAGCATCACTTACAGAGTCCCTTGTAAGTCAGTTGCTTTGAATCACTCTCTTTTTTATGAGCAGCAACAGTGAGATAATTAATAAATAATTCCTAAGGAAAAAAACACAAAATTAATTCACAGCTATTGTAACTTATCTGATCGAGATATTAAGTCCTTGTATACAGACACTGAAAAACAAGCAAACAAAAAAACACAATAACAAAAAACAAATACCATTTTATAAATCAACAAGTATATCATAAGATGACCTAATAAAGAACAAGCTCTGAAAATGTTTTTGGATGAGTGAAAGAAAAAAATTCAGGATCTCAGATATGACTGTTATTTGTGTACATGTATGTCCTTAGTGACCACAAAAGAGACCTGTAGCCGTTACCAGTTCAAGCAAAGGTCAACTCAGTCATATAAACTGATTATGATTTATTTTGATTGCTTGTTACCTATGATCTGTAGGAAAAAAGAAACATTAGTGGTACCAATATCAATGTTTTTCATTCTTATCCTATAAACAGGTAGATTCCAAGTTGTCGTGGGCCCGTACATTAATAGATCACAGGAGACGTGAAAAACATCAGTTCCACACTCAGCTGCCCCTTGTATGCTACTTTTTTGTTCTTACAAATGATGATATCACCCGTGATCAAATACTGAACAAATGCACAGCAATATGGAATTTATTTGTTGAATAGAATACTTCACCTACCCATAGATCCTGATACGTGAAAAGACCTGAAGTCTCTTATTGTGGTGGATCTTTCCCTAAGCTTGAGAATTTTCTTTGAACAGTTTTTTAAAGATTTCTGCTCAGCCCCATGCTATTGTAAAACAAAGCCATGGGCCTCTCTATAGTCCGAAAGGCAATTTATTGTTTTTGCCATTGTTTTCTTTATTCAAGAACTGCATGGATAATGAAGTATGGGGCTGTGCGTAAATCGTACCCAGTTTGTCAAGCACAGTTCTCTATTGCTTAAGAAAAGCCGCACGAAGATATTCAGCAAATAATAAAGATAGCATGCATGTATTTTCACAAATGCAGCTTTAAAACTGGAGAGAAAAACGGTGTGCTTATACAGCCCAGAGGCTTCGTAGATTTTGACTGGTTATCCACTTACAATATCAATTGCTAAATTAATTTCCGTGGGCACGGATTGATATAAATTATAATCGATTATTTATTTAATCAACATCATGCATCAACAGCTAGAATACCCATTGAGCTATGTTTACAAACTACTCCATAAAAGAGAGACCTACCGTGGCTTTTGTTATTAGGAAAACTGAGTCTTGACTGAAAAGTGGCTGATCCGGGGAGCTTTTCATAATTGTTTTAACCCTAGCGACAGGCAATTGAGTTGCCTTACCCGCGCTACCGTCCCTAGTTTTCTCCGCCATTTTGAAAGTCACCGAGCAAACTGTATGGCCGATCAGCGGAGTCCTCTTGCCCGTTCCAAGCGTCTCTCTTCTTCCCAGCCAGGTAGTTTGCTGATCGATCTCACTGATGGAGGGTCCCACTGCAGACTCACCAAGTCACAAAATCTCGGCAGAATATCAACCGGAGGGTTTAACAACTGCTATCGAAACTGAGCAGGATGCGAGGGCTCAACTTAGAAATGGATTTCTTCGTTCTATCTTTGCGACCTGTAACAAGCCAGCTTGTTTCTTGATGCACGAGAAAACTCAAGTGGAAGCTATATTGGTGGCTACAGACATTAACATAGAGAGTTTCCAGGTATCTGAACTTCAAACTCCAATGGGTGTAGTCAGTGAGGCTTTGCTGAGGTCGTCTGATGTGCTATCATTTACAGTAGACCTCGAAAAGGATTAGAGTCACACTGTTTTGGAACTCAGCCACATATGACAGGAAAACTGCGAGGTTTTCAGTTATATCTTCTTTAAGGAAGTTTCCTTGGTAGGCATTATTTGGTTGAAACTATCAATGGTTTACACGGTTGAAGGATACTGGGTTTAAAATGGTCGCTCAGTCCACATTTCATGTATAACGAGGACTATTGCATGACATGTGACTGTAAACTCAAGACATTTGAACGCATGCAGCTTTGGAACGTACCATTTCTCACCTTTTACTAAGAGGTAAAGCTTGTGTAGATTATCGAAATGTTTCCAAGGAATGACTTGATTACTTGGAGTCAGAAATTCAACACACGTTTTAATCAGAATTGAGAGAAAGTGCGCATTTGTGTAGGTCATAAAAAGAGATCTTTTAAAAATCGATATTCTCTTACTGACATGAAAGTTTGGTATGCATGATTATTTGTCTATGGAGATCATCCGTTTTGAGATGGGCACAGTTTTGCAAGATCAAACCTTGAGGGAACCAAAGAGGGTCAGTCAACTCTGATACAAATCAAGAGCTCCTATTATCAACCTTCTTACTTTTCATTCCACTTGCAAAGGGCAGTGTTGTATGGAATTAGATTTCTTTTGGGTAGTGAATATTAGATATTAAATTCATACCATATTTAAGTTTCTTTACCAGTTTGGTAGTCTCATTTTCTAGGGGTTAAAGGTTTTGGTCTCCATGCTCTTTCTCTGGTGGGGGAGAGAGCATATTGCATGACTAGACCAAACAACAGCTGTGAAGGAGATCTATACAGCTGATAATTGATTTTTTAAGTTATTTCTTAAGTTAAGAAAGATAATCACACCATATGGTTTCATATGTAATGCAATTTATTAATGACAGGAAATTGTTGGAAATTTGTTGTTCCATCATAATTTTTAAGGTACCCCACTTGCTTAACCTGTTGCTTTTAATTTCTCTCTACAATATCACCCCTGAATCAAACATCAAATGATCACCAACTAAAGAAGCTCTTGATTGTTTGACAAATTATCTTTATAGACGCTCTAGAAGTATAGAGAACAGTATGGAGAATAAACATATTGATGTAAGAGTGTCAAGGGTTAAGCATCACCTGCACAGGGGAGTCTAACTGTTACCCGTTTTGTCCTTAACCATTTCTATTAGTAAATAATGTTGCTCTTTCTTTAGCACTGTACAACACAAGACAGTATATCTCATTAATTTCATAGGTAATGACTTCATGACCATCCCACCATTACATTATAGCTAACATTGCAAATTTCTGGTATCATTTATATTGTGTTTCCAACCCTCTGTGTCTGAATCTCTTGACCCTTGACATTTATTATAAAACCCTTGAAGGTCACATTTATCTGATATCTTCCTCACTAGGGTCATCCTACACTACTTATCTGAAATACTGCAACCTCGTCACAACATTGTGATTGCTTATTGCAAATCTAAGTAAATTCCCCATACAGGGGGGTCCTTAACTCAACTTAGTTAGATTATTGGTTTATAGAAAGATGTTTTTCGTCTAGTCACGAGCGTGGGACTAAGAAAAAATTCAGAGTCCCAATGAGGAATTGAACCTCAGATCTTTGGATTCTGTGCTCCAATGCTCTACCACTGAACCACAGAGACTCTATGGTGAACAAGGCCCATTAAGAAGTTCATATTTGACACATGTCCTGCATACTGCTAGGATCAACAATGTTGAAACCTTCATCTAAAATCAAACACGTGACTGCAACCCTTATTTCCTAAACACTGTTCCTTTGTCTCTTTGGTCTTCTTACTGGCCTCTGTGAGAGAACCTTGATTGAGGTCAACTGACCAAACACAGTCAAGATGCACCTGTGGAAACCTTCCTAAACTCATCAAGTGGATCGCAATGAGACATCATGTTTTCAATCTTTTGATCATTTATGACTTAAAAACCCTCTGAGGAATGGATACAAGCTCCATGTTTACAAATCATAACTCCTTGGCAAATGCATAAAGGACCTGCCACTCAGAGTACTATTACTACCAGTACTTAATTAGTTGATCAGTCTAAGAATGGACTTATTCCTGTCAGTAACTTTCAGGCATTATTCAGGTAACTTCTGTTGTTCAAGCTGCTCATCTAACCTCTGTATGCTTTTGGTGTCACTATCAGTGAGTCTGCATCTATAAAACAAAAAAAAATATATCAATTACAGTGTTATTTACTGTGCCATTTAATGAAAATGTTTGAATAAAATTTAAAGTCACATTCTTACAATTGCCAAATGAATCATTTTAAAGGTCATCCTGCATTCATCTATATATATGTGTAAGAGCAGGAAAGATCAAGATCAACAACAAAACAACAACAAAATTTATTTATCTCAGCAATTTAAGTACAAATCTGACAATCTCTACCTGCGAAAAAGCAAAGCTAATCCAGGTAGGAGAGAAACAAACATTAAAATAAATTAAAATAAAGATGGGAAAGTGCTTCAGATCTTCATGGGCACCCTACTGATCTGTAAATCAATTCTTACACAACACCTTAATGCAACATCTTTTACAATGGAAATATGAAGCACTCCCAAGGAATCCACAATACATTCAACTCTGTTTCCTGGCAAGAACAGCTTTTGTTCTTTACATTTTGTCAGTAAGGTGTCAAGCCTTAAGGGAATAAGGTGGAAGTGGCTTTGAGTCATGGAATCTTAAATTAACCAATCTAAGTGCAGGCAGCAATTGCAGACACCATCCAGTTTGGTTTGTTCGTCATGAGCCTTGGATGTTTGGTCTCGAACATTACAGGCTGGGAACAAGTTATATCTGAAACAGCTCAAAAAATTTGATTGTGGGTCTAATATATGAGGTATACTGTCTTGAACTTCTACCAATGGCCACATCTCTACAATGGCAACCTCCCTTCAACAGCTGAGCTTATTAAGTCTTTTAAGGTTGGTATAAGATGAAACGTAAAAAGTTATAGCACGTGGTGTTCAAGAGGGATGATCACTTTCAGCAGACTATTTTAACCTTCATTCAGGGGACAACCTAGCCACTCAAGAGAGTCTTACAAATACAGTAGTACTGTGTATGATAGAAGAAATTGTTTCAGTTTGGGAAATGTGCCCAATGCAATCTATTTTGAGAGTGCCTATGGCTTTTAAGTAAATTTATCCTATGACCCATCTGGCCCCACTCATGTAATCCCATAGAAAACCACAGCGAAAGCTGATGTGTGGAGTGCTGGACAGGTTGATGTAGGGTGGCCCCGAAAAAGTTGTTGACCCTGCTGCCCTCAGGTCATTTTGTTGCAAAAACTCAATGAAAAACAGAAATGAGAAAAAAAGTTGTGTTTATTCAAGAAATTGGGAGTTTCTTGCTTGACTTGAAAAAATTAAGGAAAAATTCTAATTGCAGAATTTTTTGTGCTTGTGAGACTGTGTGCGCCTATCTTTCACATCCTCTTCTGGTTGAAATTTTCAACACTTAGTGGTCACATGATAAAATGTTTATTGACTAGGTTTGGTTGAGCTGGATGGGAAAATATTTGGCTCTTGATTATGAAGCATGGACTACTTGGTCAGTACATCATGACCTTGAGCTAAATAGATACATTGTACGGTACTTAAGGAAATTTAACACACAATATCACAGAGAGCTCTGTTTGTGACAGGTTTTTTTCTGTGCATTATAAAATTAAGACTCCTTGTTTTGTGGGTAATAAGTTACAAACCCCAATCCAACCTCTTTTCATGCTGTGATCAGGGGACATTGGCCCTGAATGAAGGTTCCACTGATTAACTATGATTTTATGTAATAATAAGATGCAATACATTGCAGCATGTGCATCCTCTAGGGACATGTAGTTCAACTAGTGAAATATTCTCTGTAAGTTAACTTGTAGATTTTCTCTAAGTAAAACATTAGTTCTTACACTTGACAACAGCACATTCTCTGTGGCTGTACACTTACAGTGTTCCTCAATAAGGTTTGGGTAAATGAGGCCCACAAAAGAGTGAACTATCTTGGAATTGCCTTTGTTCTGTTCCTTATTGGAGGATAGACCATCCCCAAATTTAGAAGTTTTCTCCATATAATCTTGAAGATGGCGATGTTCAAATGACCTGGAAAAACATAGTTAAAGTAGATTATTAGGCTAAATACAGTGATTACAGATGGTCGAGTACAAGTAAAGGATATGACCAATACTGTTCTCGATGCTTTTCCTAAGGCAGGGCGTAAAATTGCGCCTAATACAGGCGCCAATGCGACTAAATTTTCACTTTGGCGACCAAATCCTCAAAATTAGTCGCCAAATTGGCGACTAGAATTTCTAATCACACTTTAGCTAGAGATCTAGTGATTGTTGAAGATTCGATAAGATAAATCTGCAGCAAAGTTCCTCGTTAAGCTCGTTTCCAAAACGCAGCACATGCACGACGTCGAACGTAAATCCTCCGTCACTAGACGCCATCTTGGATTTAGGTAACATATAACGTTGTATATGATCAATTCTAGTGTCCTCTTTGTAGCTCGTGCGAATTTAGCGGGCTCACTTCTGATGTTTTTATGACTGTATCACTCTGACATGATAAATCTAGTACAGTGACAGGGTAAAAATTTTTTGTTTAAAATATTTAGGAGCCAAGTGGCTACCGGAAAAAAAAGTTAAGTTTACGCCCTGTAAGGTGCTGACAAGGAGAATTGTTTATCAGTCAAGAGGTTCTGTTCTTGGTGGAATTGAATGTTTGATTGACAGGGGTTACGCTGTTGGGAGAAATTAGATGCTAATCACTCTCATGGTTAGTGGCTTAAAAAATTTACCACAGGAAATGTGTTTCTACTGCCATACATAGGAATTGCAATGTGTTGCTTTGACATTGCCTTTTCTGATTCTCATAAAATTCTGGAGAAATAATGCACTTTTGGGGTGTGACAGAAAGGAAAACAAGAAATCTTCTAAGTAAATCTTAGTTTTTGATGGATATAATAGGCCTTATCAAAATTTCATTGATTGACAGCTGGGTCTACATAGGGGTCAAATTATTTGTGTATAGTGAAGGAAGGCAACTGAAGATTTTCAAAACAAAAATCCACAGCCTTCAATCATGAAAAGGATGTCATTTGTGATAGAAATGAAGCAGTCTTACCATCCCATATGGGCACCACACTGAGGGCAAACAGCTACCCTCCATGCATAGCCTGGAAACCAAGAATGCTCCTCAAATGCCTAGAAGTTGAAAGGCCAAGTCAGCTGCAAGAGTTATACTTAACTATCATTATTATAACTATTAATGTTTTTGGTTGATTCTCCTTACATTTTCTTGTTATTTAATTGTTAGTTCAGTTGGTCTTGTGTTATTTTGTCATGCTTGTATTTTCATACTGAGTACTAATGGTTTTTAAAACCCTATTTCTAAAATGAAAGTGCATCTAGTGTGTTGGTAAATCATTACAATTGCTCTAAATGTAGTAATTGTGGTTCATAATGTAAAAAGTTACCCCTGGTTTTCACTTGTAACACAAGCACAAGTCCAAGTGCAAACCCAAGCATAACAGCTCGTTTTCATTCACATACAAATCTAACTCATTTGCACAAGACTGTTTGGGCACCAGACCTTGTTTTGAAAATGAGGCTATAAGTATTTTTTAAAATGGCCTATAGTGGGGAACAACTCCTGAAAATACCTATTGGCCAACAGTATGCCAACAGACAGTCAACTGTCAGCTGAGGGCGTTTACAAAATCTGGACCGGATGGGATTGACAAAACTGGGACCGGATCGGACTGGATTAACAAAACCTGGATCGGATTGCGTCCAATTGACAAAACCCGGACCAGATCCGAAAAAATCGGATCGCCATAAATTTCCCGCCAAAATAGTCACGTGATACCTCAATCGAAGATGGTGGAGAAAGATGTAAATGCTCGCTGTGTTTCAAGCTCACAATACGAAATGTATAGTTGTTTATTACGATTGGACGTGACCGTGACGTGAGAAAGTGGTGTTGTGTTGCAATGCAAGTGGTGTATTGTGACAGTGTTGTGAAAAGCGGTGTTACATTACGCTGTCGACTGTCGATTTTGAGCGCTCCATTAACCCATTAATGGCCGCAGCTTTTGTGGAAAACTGTGTTTTGAAGCTAGTCCAGCAGATTTCGGGTCACTGTTGGGGTTTTAAAAGCTCTAACTTACCAAAAACCACTTGACAGCTCCTGCACTCAATGGCCTTTCGATCCAAATGCAAAATGGCGGCCTGAAAATCTCGGGCACGCGCAGAGAGCAAAATTTTTTTTGGGTGAAAATGAGTTTTTGGGTTGAAAAGTCACGCCCCACTTACGACTTCTACTTTTCTCTCTTTCTCCTGCCCTTTTTTCCCCTCTCCTTGCCTAAAGTTTCTCCTCACTTGCTGGAAATTGAGTAGGCTTCATTTTGGTGTAGAGATTTTTCAGAAACTACTCATTATTTTCAAAGCACATGCTCAGAAAGGTAGGTGGGTAGTGAAATGCGATCTTCGTGCAGATTTTCCAGTCAAAGTGACACGGTTTTTTGGCTATTTCTCCAATCTCCTCCACTCAATTGCGCTCATTCTGGTATCGTCTGCAAGATATTTTCAACCCGTTCAAGTACATGCTCGAATTCGTGCTCCAGAGTTAAAATTGATGACGTCACAGGGCGTAGAAAGGGTGTGGGTCCCCATGGGCGCATACGGGCGCACTGGACGTTAATGGGTTAAACAGTGTATGGAGTCCGTAATAGCTTTCTATCAAAATGTTCGTTATGAAAATGATAATCTTTAATAATTGCTCCTAAAAGAGGCTTTTCGGCAACTATTTACAGTGATGGGTCAGTAATTTACAATAATGTTTAAATAAATTAAAAAAATATATATGTACAGTGTGCATTAGGCCACAAATGTGTTAGTTTTCAAAATAATAAAGTATGTGAACTTACCTCGTCTATTTTCTGTAGTTCTTTATGCCTGTTTAGGCGAAAGAACTATACCTTTAGTGTAGTGAGCTGGGGGCGCCTGTGGAATATCTTATTACGAAAAAGAACCAATGGTAGTTTTGAAAACGAAGACCCCGAAAACGAAGACCTAAGACCCCTACGAAAACGAAGACCCATTACGAAAACGAAGACCCATTACGAAAACGAAGACCCATGACGAAAACGAAGACCCATGACAAAAACGAAGACCCATTACGAAAACGAAGGCCTAATAAAAACAAGATTTATACCGTCTGTGGACAGGTGAACTTTGTAAGTGGTGGTCCGCTGATTTTCTTTCCAACTTCCTTGTGTGGCCACTGCACAAATAAAGTGCACTGCACCCAATTCAACTTGAAGATAGTCTGTTCTGTCAGACCCAGTCTTAGTACACCAGGCTCCAGATTCCCTGCTTTCATGAAGTCGGCCGTAGTCGGTAGATGCATTGCGTGACGGTTTAAGCGAATGTGGGAAAGATAACATAACATGAGATAACTGCATTGATTTGATTTTTTTAACTTGAAGCATATATATTAAGCGAATGCGAAGACCCCGAAAACGAAGACCTAAGACCCCTACGAATAGGAAGACCCCCTACGAAAACGAATACCGAAAACGAAGACCCATTACGAAAACGAAGACTCATTACGAAAACGAAGACCCATTTCGAAAACGAAGACCCATTTCGAAAACGAAGATCCATTACGAAAACGAAGACCCAATTACCTGTGCTTAAACCATCACGCAACATATCTACCAAACCGTAATTTCTGGGCGCATTCTTTTCTCCTTTTCTGTTTGTCAATACAAAATACTTTTTACCTTGATTGTGAAGCGCCTTAAAGCTTTTGGATAGTGCGCTATATAAATTGTCATTTATTATTACTATTATTATTATTATTATTATTATTATTATTATTATAAAATAACAGACTAGAAAATCAAGAGAACTAAAACATCCTGTTTTAATTGGGTCTTCATTTTCGTAATGGATCTTCGTTTTCGTAATGGGTCTTCGTTTTCGTAGTAGGTCTTCGTTTTCGCAGGGGGTCTTCGTTTTCGTAGGGGTCTTAAGTCTTCGTTTTCTGGGTCTTTGTTTTCGTAACTACCCCATTATTACAACTTTGCTTCACTGAGCTGCGAAAAAGGCAGTCGTATTTCTATGCCAAAACTTGATCATGAGATGTTACGTGACTATTTTGGTGGGAAATTTATGGTGATCTGAGTTTTTTAGGACCCGGTCCGGGCTAGGACGCAAACCGATCCAGGTTTTATTAATCCGGTCCGATCCGGTCCGATTTTATCAATCCGATCCGATCCGATCCGATCCGATCTGGTCCAGCTTTTGTAAACGCCCATCAGCTGACAGTCTTAGGCAGACCTGTAAGCTAACAGACAGCAGACAGTTAGTAATCTATTGGTGATTGATTGGTAACCTGGTGGCCTGTTGGTGATCTCATCACTGACAGTCAGCCAACAGGGTTTCTCAGGGAGCTGTTCTTCACAATTACCAAAAGATACACTCAAGCACCAGGATCAGACTTTTTCGATTTTTATGGGGACTGTCCTTGTGCTTGCATCAAGGCCCCTTTCCACAGTGAAATTAGAACTATTTTGTTTATATTTGTGCTTCCTTTTGAGCCTTTACTTGCTCCTGCACTTGTGCCTTCATTTGTAGTGGAAACCAGGCTTAAGGAAATGATTTGCAGCCAAACTCTAAAACTAAGGTGAGAAGAAACTAATTGCTTAAAATTAAAGCACAATTACATTAATATGCTGCCAATCAATTTTCCCAAATACAAGCCACACCCCTCATTTCAAAACAAAATACATACTATGGATGCATTTGATGAAATTAAAATCCAGTTAATGACGATGACACCTAAACATTTGAAATGTGGATTCTCTCATTTTGACATTGCATTTATTCCACTTTATAGTCTGAACAGTGGATTGAAACCTTTTACACCTTACACCTACCTCACCAAGACTTTTAACATTAGCTGAGGTCACTGTTATTAGCTCAAAATGTTGACCTGTAAAATATATGGTCATGCAAAAAATATGACATTTACGTCAAATCAGAAAAAAAATTCCAAAATTTTGATCATATATTGTTAGTTTTTCAAAACTCATACCATGAGGGTTTTTGAAAAGTTGAATCAGACATTGGTTCACTCCAAGAAGAGTGTCATTCCTTTGTCCCAGAGCAAGTTTACTACCTAAATTGTTAAGGTTTGCAACCACAGTGATGTCCTGCCCACAGCGTCGACAAAGGAAGGTATCTGCAAATATACAAACTTTTCCTTATTACAAGGGCAATTTCATGAGGTAAAGTGAGTTTGTTGAACTTATAAGACCTCCTCAAAGAAAGACTTGCTTACATAAAATTAAACACACACCAAGCATATCACATGGTGTTATTCAATCTAAATCATTGATACAGTTAGAGCAAGTCATAACTTGGAAAAAGTTTATCAGGAGTGATGCAATCATTGCTCAATTACCATCTGAATTTGAATTTGAAAAGAAATTTCATATCTCTTGATGGTAAATCCAGATACCTTAAGCTAACAAAGACTTTACATATTGAAACCATCCTGATACAAATCATGGTGCTTTCACAATTTCAACAGACCAATAATTTGATTCAGGTATGCATTGATTTATTCAAAGCTTCAACATCCCCCCCCCCAAAAGCTAAGGCTTTTGAACTTTTTTAAGTGCACCTGACCCCCAAATTTCTTTTCACTTAAAAGAATCTTCCTGCTTTGGTGAGTATTGTTGGATTTGGTTAAACCCTCATTTTTTTATGCCCTGTTGAAGTCGAGATCCGAATGGACCACAACTGCGTAAATGGGGATCTGGGCAGAGAAGACTTGTGACGTCACTTCAAGAAGACGCTCAAGGAATTCTCAGCTAGTCGTCAACCTGCGAAAGCCCTTCTAGCACTAGATTCATTCTGCGGCATATTTGCGACCAATATCGATCTAACCTTCCAAACATAACCAGTGAACTGTGCAAAATGGTGCGAAATACAGATTGTTGGGTTCTCGAAGTGACGTCACATTAGTTGCCAGACTCTTGATCCTTGAAACGTGGTCTGAGTCAAAATGATGGTGATTTTTATACAATTTTCTGTACCTCAACGGGGCAAAAAAATTCAAGGATTTGACCAAATCCAAAAATTTTTTCGAAGAGATACTCACCAAAGCATGAAGATTTTTTTAAACAAAAAAAATTTAGGGGTTAGGTACACTTTAAGACTTGTTCATTCAAATTCCTTCCCATTAATGCAGAATTTGTTATCAAATGGTGCTTTGGGTGATCAACTAATATTGTAAAATTTTGCAAGTGACACTGTTTAGTTTTTCCCCTGTAGGCATCATTCTGTGATGTAAAAATTTTCTTCTAAGCCATTTGCTGATGAAAGTTGATTCTTTGTGTATAAATTCTTCATTATTTCAATTTAGGACAAGTGTTTTCTGCTGTTTCAAATACCCATCCCTCTCAGGAGAACAGTCCAATCCTCTTGAGGTGACTGGGGAGGGGGGAGGGAGGAGGGAATATCAAAGCTTTGAATTGATTAGGACATTTTGTGTAGATGGCAGTGTGTTTTTTAAACATAATATAATGGAAGTTAAGTTGGAGACTGTACATTTTGAACTCTGAATTGCTTAACCCCTTCCCTGCCAAACCTTAATGTAGCCATCTACTGGTTAATAAAATAATCTATTTTTAATGAAATTCAAGTTTCATGAAAAACAATAATATCTTTTTTTGTAAATACTGTGGACAGTAACAAATATTTGTACAAAGTCATCAGGCCTCTCTTTCAGAGCAGTGTCACTGTGTGTTAGATCCTAAAGCAAGGAGCTGGACACCGTCCCAGAGAAGTTGGTCAGTGGTTCATTAATACCCATAGTGATCAATGACAATACTTTACAAGAATAGTATACATCTATGAAGTATATATGCTTTGTAGAAAAAACAAACTTGTTAATTACTGATAACATTCATCAGAGCCTATCCAGTTCAAAACTGGTTGGTTGATTGAGAAATCTCAAAATAAATGTTGATTTACAGAAATTGATTGGTATTTTCTCTAGAATAATTTATGGATTCTATTCTTTTCAATTACAAATGTGATAAATAATCAGTATCAATTTCCATTTTATAGAGTGGAAACAGAATGGAAAATTTGCTGTCACAAGGGTTATGATCTTCATATGTCAGTTTCTTACAAATATAATACAAGCAGGTGGAACACATACAAAATTAGTGAACTGTTAACAAAAAAAAGAAGGGACCAATGAAAAACTACCAACAATGATTTAGAATTCAAACTGTAAACTTGTCTAATTACTAATTAACTGAAGCACACTCAAATTGATCAGTTGTCAACATTATCTTATAAACAACAGTTTAAATTTGACAATAAGCCACATGACTTGTATGGCAAAATCTTCATCACTTGTGATGCATCTCTGGTTTTAAAATTGAAAATTGTGGTTTTAAAATTGAAATGGTGTTTATCACTCTTCCTGTGGCTGTGAACAGACCAGTACCAGAGCCAAGGGTATGTTACTTAAAACATAGACGAAATACAATAAGGCCTTAGTAGGCTCCTTGAAAAACAAAAGGCATAATATACTGGGAAAGTTTTCTTAAACCTGGATTTCAATTATGTGATTCCACGATTATCATTTGCACTCTAGTCAATTATCATACGAGTATGGCAGAATATCAGAGAAAAGTAAAAACGAACGAAGGAGCCGCAAATATTAAGTTATATTGATTGGACAAAATAATTTAAGGGTGTCTTTCGAGTTGGCGAGTCGTCGCACCGTAAACACAAATTACTTTTATCAGGGCAGTTGTGAAAGTCATGTATCTGTTATCTGTGTCTGTTATCTTATTCTATTGTTATGTTAAAATCCACGACTTTGATCAAAATGACCTCAAATATCACTACCATTAAGGTCACCTAGTGATACCTTGGTCAAGAAGTAAGACAAGAAAAAAAGTGTGGGTTATTGGATTTTACAGGTAGGTTTTCATTTAAATACATGTGAAAACAGGCAAATTTAAGATAAATTCCTACAAAAGTAGGTAATGTGCTTTGACGCTTAGTGTTTGTTCAAGTTCCATATCAAGGGCAATCACGCGCGCGAAAACACCAAAAGAACAAGAGAGACTAAGTGCGCGCTCTCGCGTGACAACTAAAATTTGCACGAAATCAAAGTGAAATATATACCTTGATGTTGCTGTATTTCCACAATCGTTGAAAATACTACATGAAAGCTTAAAAACACTATGGTATCAAGAGCAGGGAAACGATTCCAGTGTTGAGATTTCATGGCAATAGCTAGCCCCGTTGCCACCGGGAAGAGCTACAAACATAGCGTTGAGTCTGCGTGGAGAGCTTCCATGATGAAAATTATATATGGTCAGCGGTCATAAAGATGCGAACCATGTAGAAATTGCGATCAACGATGATCGACGACGTGACAACATGAAAGTGAGGCGATCGATTTGAACTATTTCACACACAACAGAATTTGTCGATAGAACTCATTTCACACCTTGGAACCAAAAAGAAAATGAAATGACCAGCAAAGTTCAGAGAAAGCCACAAACAAACAATTGGGATTGGAGGACGAGATCTTGTGGTGGGATTAATTGCGATCATGTAAGTTCTTTGGTCTCGTGATGAACTCGTGAATCTTGTTCAGAGAGGTATAGCTGCAGATGGAAAGAAAATATTTCACGGTATTTTCCTCCGTAAGATTTTAAGATCATAAAATGGCTTGAAAGTTAATTATTTGTTTAATTTTAGTCATTGAGAATTCTTCAGGAGAAATTCTTTCACTGCTTTTGTACGGCCTCTTGCAGTCCATGAATTATGGAGGTAGTTTCCTCTTGAAAGCGCCATTCCAGTGACTGTTCATTTTACATCTGCTTATCGAGGAAATTTTCTGGCCTACAGTAAAATCATTCAAGAATCAACATGAATTTGACGATTTCCTCGATGAAGCACGTATAGCTGCTCATTAGAAATATTCACTCATGGCGTATAAAAATTTAAAGAACACTACATTTTAAATATTAATTTCACATGTTCACAAACTGGAGACGAAAAAAGACAAAGCAATGCTCTTAAGTTAATTTCCCATTCTTTAAAAGAAACTTAAGGTTTTAAATTACTTTTTCGAAAAGTCATGTTGGTTAGAATGGATCATGGTCCACGGCTGAACAGTAGTTTTTTAGGTGTTCTCCTTGCACGTGTGCAAAATCAACCAAAAACAAACCACGTGTTTACAATTGAGCTCGTGAGGACTTATGGGAATGTTCTTATCTGACAAGGCAGCGACGGCCATGCCAAGAATGGCCTTTCTTTCGTAGGCCTTTTGCATCCGGTCAGTTGAACGAGCATCTTTTGTCCTAGATCTATGATAGAAAAGTATTTGGACGGCAAATGACTTTTGTTCACGTATTATTGAATATTTCAGCCGCTGGATGCGTTATATCCTGGTAGTTTTTGCAAACGCAGCAAGTCACACCCCCGTAGTTTGTGTTTAGAACCATTTTGCGTTCATTATTGACTTAAGAAATTTCTGTTCTATCTAGATCCGTCCAATGAGTTTTCCATGTGTTCTTGGCATGAACGAAGTTGGATGGGAAGATGGAGCGTACCACAGCAATGGTATGACTCCAAAACTTGTAGGACGCACCAGTAATGGTGGATCGAAGACGAACAACAGTGGCTTCGAAATTGATGTAGGTGGCAAATCGAACGGGGAAGTGGCAAGTTACCTTTTCCAGCGTCAGGGAGTCGCTACAAGCTTTTCAAAAACAGTTTCAGAAAACGACAAAGGCAATTTTTCTGGCCAGCGATGGTCATCTGTTGGTGAAGGAATGTCAGAACAGGTAAAAACCAATGTCAACAGTGTTATTGTAGCTTGTGTACATGGCCGTGTAGAATTACGGTGAATTGTTTCGTTGTAGAAGCAACTAAGCATTCGAAAATGCGACATCTACTTTTGCAGAGAAGTGATGAATGTTCAAATGCTTAGTTTTGTGTTAGTTTGCCAAACATATGGCTCCAGAGGAGTCACTGCTGCAAAATTTCATTTCTGTGTTATATTGAGACATTGATTACGCGGCTTAAAGCGTTGTTGCATTTACGCTTAAAAGTGTCTTCCCTTAATTTCGAATAAATCTTTTTAATTTAACTTCTTATAGCGCGATATTGTACTGCGGAAATTATAAATGCGCATCGCGAATGTTATGAAGCCCGAATTTTCCTGTCAGCTAATGGGAAGAAGGACGGATACGTTTCACTATCTAATTCTCTCCGTGAATTGCAATGTTGCGATAAAAGCTTATTGCTTGTTTCCATTACCTTCGTTCTACTCTTCTGCAGAACTAAATATACGTTTTTATTTTGTTTTGAAATAGACGATCGACTTGTCTCGTTTTGATATAGAGTAAATTAGTATAAGTGCAATATCGTAAAGCTCAAATACACGATCGAAAAGAAGGCATCGGTGATTTTGTCAAAACTTGCATCTAAGATGTCCGGTAAACAGCCAGTGAAGCGGAGCTATCGTTTTAAAATGAGGCAAAGAGGGCAGTGAACATACTGCAGCTCTGTGAAATTCACTGTTAGACTTTGTGCATAACTTGGTTACTTGCCTCCATCGGTTTAAATTCCACTATTCATCGTTCAATTTCTAGTGAAACAAATCAAAGCTACAGCTACCAGCAAAACCAGTGTTTTATTTTTAACAATTGTATGCTATTTTCGTTTTGCATATCTCTTTCCTTATTTTAGAATGTTTCTGATGTTTCGAGTCCTGAAGTTTTGTGTTTTCATGGATAATGAATTTTTAAACGTTTTGTTAGACATGTTATTTGGCACTGTGTCTCATTAACAAAGAAAATTTTGATAGATGCTTCTAGAGATTCTTTATTTTCATCCTTCTAATTATTGTTTTCAACCAGAAACTCCGAAATGTTCAAGTTGAATCAGGATTTTTTAGTTTTGTTTCTGTTTCACTTTCATATTTGTAGTTTCATAGGCAAAGTACATGTAGCATTAGTAGTATTACAATTTCACTCTCCATTTGGAGGTAGAATTCATACCTTCTTGTTAACCCTAAGTACCAGGCAAAAAGCTTCAATTAATTACACAAAATTACTGTTTACTATTGAGGCAAATTTTTTTAAGCTCAAGCTTGGCCTTACTTGGCTGTGATTATTTATAGACAGAATGATACAATGGCTCTTGTGAATGTAGGGTACATGTCTGAATACTGGTTCCTGGTTTTGTGAAGGTTGGATAATGCTGTCCACTGCATAAATCTCTATCTGGTGGATAGCAATTTTATTTGTTGGATAGCTTAAACCACCCTTTATGACACTGGGCCCATAAGGTTGCACTTTGATTTTTGTGGTAGTTGTTCGTAAAGAATGAGCAATATTTGTTAAAGCATCTCTAATGCAGGCATCTGACCTAAAAAATATAAGGAGACATTGCTGGAGCCTGCTAGTTTGAAGTTCCTGGGGTGTATGAATCATTCTTGATGAGTGTTGTATGCTAGACAATGCTGACAATTCAACAGTTATTGTATATCAGATGGGTTTGCTTAAAAAATACTGCAATTGTCTGTTGAGTTTTTGTTTTTTTATGCTTTTATTGAACATCAAAGAAAGCTGACTTGATTTCTGTTGAGCATTGGCTTTTTCGGCCAACAAAAACCAGAGCAAGATAGTCTCCATGTTGTCTAGTGGACCACACTTTGCAATTCATCAGATTCTGATATGTTGTGATAAATTACCCAGCCGAAGTAGTTTTAAAAGTATGGTATGAAACTAAGAAAAAAAAAAAAAGCAGATGCAACACCAAAATAAACAACACAAATGATTGCAAGAAGTTATGTATCCAAGTTGTAACTTGTTAATATTGACACCTAAGATTGACTAGCATCTAATTGCTCCTTAGAACATCGTCCCTGGATCCCACATTAAGGTCAGACCATTAAAGGTAATGATTGCCCCCTAAAAGAAGCTCTTGATTATTAAATAAGCTCTATTTGTCAGAACCTTAGGAAATGTATAGAGAATAGCATGAGAATACACACAGGGTGTATAGGGCTGGTGTTATTAAGATTCAGAGCACGTGGCTAATCAGCACTTACAACTGTAGTAACAATGAGACTTGCCAAATTTTTAGTTGAGGTCGGCTCGTGTAGAGATGTTGAATTTACGATGCTGTGTAAAGAATTTGAATGACAACAACAAGAGATAGGATCAGTAGAATGAGTTCTGCAAATTAACCCTATTGGGTTCAAAGCCCTCAGCCCAGGCCACCCCTGAAAATCTAGACAAAATGGCTGTCAAATTAAAAAAAAAACCACATGGTCCAAACAAATTTACTATTTCATGTCTTGGTTTTACTCTTCAGCAGTGAAACTTTAAAACATGATTGCCAATACAATAAAGAATTACTTAAACTGCTTAAATCCTGGAGATGTATGTTATGCATTTTTAAAAAAAATATTAAAGTATGGTCATCAAGTAAACAAAGTGACCATCACCATACTACCTACTATAAACAAAGGAATGAAAATATCTCAAAACCACAGTAAGTCTTATTTCCTGCTCTTAACTCGGCAGAAATGCAAACAAAAAGAATCAGTCAAAAAACTTTTGCATTACAACAGGCCATCTCACGGGTAAGAGAGTGAAATTTGTAAGTTTTCTTGCACAGATCAAATTTGAATTTACCGCCATTGCTGACATCAGTGAACGTCACGAGGTAAAAAATAACTGGAAGTTACAAGTTAAGCCTACTCAGACCAGGCAGGAAATTGTCATATGGAACTATTGAAGAATGAAATAACTATCAATTGAATAGAACCCTTTCAGTTAGAAGATGATGAACAATGCTTGGATTATACCAAACAAAGAAAGTTGTTTTTATCTTTGACCAGTTTGCGACTTGCAAAGTGAAGGTGAAATGAAATTGGGCTTTACGGCCTAGTACAGCACTCTAAAGAACGGGAAAAAAAAACTACGGTACAATTTAAGAACTAAGGTTAAGTGTTTTTTAAGAGTTAATTTCCTCCGTGCCATTTTGAAAAGCATTCGCCACGCATTTGCTGACATAAGGCAATGCCGCATAGCTCACAAGCATATGTTTCGAAGGTGCTTCCATCACTTTGTTTTCTCCCATCGTTGATGAAAAGATTAAGGAAATCTTTCGATGTTGCACCCTCGCCGAGATCTTTCGTTGGGCCACGAGGAATGGTAACCTCTTCGATGTCAATTTCACTCAATGTGTTTGACCATTGAACCCCGACGGAAGGCATATCTTCGTTGTCGCTATCTTCTTCATGATCTTGTTCTTCGTCGCTAGCGAAAATTTGGACATCGGAGTTTGTTCCCCCTTAGTGCTCGCCGAAATCAAAGATCTCGATTTCTCTATCAACATCTCACAGAGAGTTTTCTCGTAACCTTCTCTGTTGTTCCTGTCGAATTTCAGCCACTTCGATAGAAAGACGAGGAAAGATTTCTTCTTCATTGGAAGAACGCGAAGTATCGTCAAATCTGCAAGAAGCCATGCTAAGATACCGAACGCTATTTTCAAAAATTCGTTAAAAATCACGCATGAATTACAGAATGAAAGACATAACATCAAATGAAAGGTTAATTTATGCAGGTCACATTCAGATATATTTCAATACCCAGGGGACTAAGGTTTCTTAGCTACAGCCAATAAAAACAAGTCATATCTGACAGGGCACATGAGGGCGCACTGGATTTTCAGAGGGGCAGTGCTTTCAATAAGAGCTGGCACCCGCCGGAGCTCCGGCGGCTATTCTGTTGCAAGTCGCCGGGTATATTTCACCGCGCTCAAGTCGCAGTCGCCACGCTAAGTCGCAATCAAGTCGCTCTCCGGCGGGTGTTGTACCAAGGTAGCCACCTATTTCAAATCTTATTGAAAGCACTGAGGGGTTTTATTTCCGGGCGCATGAGGGCTCACTGGATGTCAATGGGTAAAAGGGTAGAGAGATTTTATTATGTCGTTGTATTTTCATGTAAAACTAAATATCTGATCTAAGAATCAATAAAACTGGTAGAAAAGCAAGGTAGATTTCTTGTACATACAGTGTATTAACTCTTGAAGAGAGAGAAGGATCACCCTAAAGTGATTTGAACAAGGTTTTATTAAATTTGGTTTAAGTTGAGTGGCTATTATCGCTCAAATTTAAATGTTTTTATTTTGATGATCTCCTTTGCAATTTTTGGCTAAGTTCCCAAACTGTTCCTTTTTTAGACAAATTCCAAGGATGGGGAACTGGATGATAAGTTCCAGAGTTTGTCTTTGAACAACAATGAAAAGAAAGCTGACACACCAATAGAGGAGGTAATCAATATTATTATTTTTTTTTCACTGAGCTTTGTTTGTGTGAAGTATGGCATACTGTCTTGTTGTATATCTCAACTAAAAGGAGTATTTATCTTTTACAAGTTTAAAAATGTTACTACTTTGTAATATTATCATTGATTTCAGTTCCTCAAGGTTTAAAATTACCTTTTTTTGCATGAACTGCATGTAGAGATGGAATGTTTTTTAAGTTACTAATTATGAAAATAAAGTTCTTAGGGAAGTTGTTTATTCAATCAAAACTAGCTCTTATTCCTGGATAATTACCAGGAGACTGTATAGGGGCACTGACAAAGTACAGATGTTCATGTTCCTGAGCCTGTAGATAAGATTCTTGTGATGTGACTTGAACATATATTTTCCCAATGACTTGGAAGTCCATATTATCTTCAAACTTTGAATGAAATTCCCAGCTTCTTTCTTCCTCTGACTTAAACATGCTCTTTAAGATTGGCAAACAGGATGGAACAGAGAGTCAGGAAAATGTGTGTTATGTAACATGTCCACAGGATGGCTGTTTGGTGGAACAGCCAACATCATTGGGGCTGCTATGTTAAAATAACAATGCATGTATTGCAAATGTCCATCAGGTCCGTCAGTGCAAATCTTGCCATCCCTTGGTTAAGTTTTTCCCTGAAACCAAAAGTGGGAATTTCAAGTCAAGACAAAATCAACTCTGACAAGATGCTGAGTCAGTTGCTTACTGGCAAGTGTGCCTTTAAACTCTTATCATCACCCCATTAACAATCTGTTGTATTGATGATAAGCTGGTGGTAATTTCAGATCCTATTCCCCTTATACTACAAGGTATATCTTAGTCTTAAATGTTAGATTTCGGAAAAACATTTTAGAGGACTTGAGACAGTTGCTAGGAGAAAACTTAATTACCATGTAACTTGTCAATCTCAAATGAAGTTTGTTTTGTTTATCTCCTTAAAACCTTGCCACATGTTTTTTTATTCTCAGACAAATTTCATCCATTCATGTTTTGCAGATTGCTTCTACTGCAAAAAAACTATGGGATGTGCAAGACTCTGGTGAGGAAAATCAAGGGGGGATGACAACTGGCATTTTTTTTGGTGAACAGTGGAGAGAGACAGCCTGGGGGCCATCTGTTCCTCATATAGCACAGTCAGAGCATGCTGTATCTCAGCCAATTATGGTGCAACGTCCAGCCAAAGGAGGAAATTTCAACAACCCTTCAGAATCACAGAGTGTTTTGTCACCCAGATCAGCTGACGGGGTTGGGCTAAGCATGGTTGAGTACGTCTTGGCATCATCACCTGGAGGTCAAGAATTAGATGCTCAAATAATCAAGGCTGGATTTGTATGTAGTTTTTCTATATATGTACTTTCTGTATGTAGTTTCTCTATTCAAAGTAGTGTTCAGTTTTGCAATACAAAGACCAGGAAAGGTTCTTGATATACCTTACACTGATTTTGTTTTGGTTTTACTATTAAACTGATAAGCAAGTTGCTTGATTTTCTATCTTCATGTTTGTAAGGCAAATCTCAGCAGCATAACACTCTAAAAAAAGAGTAGCTTACTTATCTAGGGATATGTCGGCTAGTTACAGGGATGTTCTAAGGTGCTTGCTTACTGTCTTGTCAGATGTTCACCTCACAGTGCAGGCTTCTTGTGGCCTTTGCCTCAATTGGTTGTCTGCACAGGAGTATACAACATTGGCCTAAGTTGTTGATTGTGATTGACAGTTTAGTTATATGCTGCATTATGGGTTGTTATGTATTACAAAGGAACACACCATCTAATGTTAAGTTTATTTTTATATGGAGGCAGCATGGCCGAGTGGTCAGCGTGTCGGACTCGCAATCCGTCGCTCCCGGGTTCGAGTCCCGCCCTGATCACTACCTGAATTTGTTTCATGGTGGCTCCAGGTTCAAATCCTCGGCCATGCTTGTAAATAGCCAACTGGTTTGCCTCCGGCCAGTTGGGATTCTTAACAGTGTTATGTTCAATTTGAATTATTGTTTATAGCCCACAAAGTAAACTACTGGGTTACCAGTAATTGTGTCAGCTATTAAAGTTAATTTTTTTTTTTTTTTTTTAAATTTTACAGGGAACATCTCCATCATCTGATGTTTTGTCTGATAAAGGAGCCAAATCAAATGGAGAGAGCAAAGGAAGCAAAGGTGGATCTCCCTTTGAGGAGGGAGCTGGAGATGAAGTTAAGCATGCCCTCCAAGAGGAGCAAAGTCATGACTCTCCAACACCAACCACAAAGCAAAGTGCAGAGGATGACAAGACATCTGTCTCTTTCAGGTGTGTACATTTTCTCTTCCTGTTCAGATTTGATTTAACCCATTGATACTTATGTGTAACACGTGCCTACGAAAAGTCAAAATTTTGGAGTAACCAAGAAAGCAGTACAAAGCAATTAGTACAAAATTTTGCTGCTGACAAGCCTAAGTACAATCACGTTAAACCTTTACTTAAATCGTTAAACTGGTTACCCGTCAAAGACCATTTATATTTTAGAGATGCTATTTTAGCTTTAAAATGCATGTCGGAACTAGCCCCCCACGTACCTTAGTGATAAATAAACCAGAAGTAGTACTGTAAGTAGCCAGAAAACCAGAAATTTGCAGATGCTAAATATCCCTTTATTTAGGTCTGCTACTGGGCAGAAAACTTTCCACTATAGGGCAGTAAACATATGGAATAATTTAAATAATAATTTTAAGTCGTGCATTGATGTTGATAGTTTTAGGAATAAGCTTAGAGTGGCACTTTTAGACAAATTTAATAGGAAGGAATGATATTTTAATTATTTTTAATTGTTATTTAGTAATTTGTATAATTGCATTTTGTATAATTATAATTATGTGTTTGTTTTTTGTATTTGACGCTGAAAAGCCCTTTGGGGAAGTAGTCAATAAACATGTTTGTATGTATGTATGTATGTATGTAGGTATGTACGAAAAGCAAACACAAAGCGCAGTAAATTTTTAAACATCTTTTCCAAAAAACAAGCTCCAGTGAAGGAAAACTAATTAAAGAACTTCTTTCCGACGAAAAAAGTGATAGTTGCATATTAAGTTTTTACTCAGAATTCAAGATGAAAGATAAAAATCGCTAAATATTTTCGCATGTGTGCAAATGGCATGCGGATCATCTTTCAAAAGGGAATGTGCAAATTTGTCCATGAGTGAAGAGATCTCAAGTTCCATGGAATCTATCAATGGGAAGCAAGATGAATATGACCAAGAGATATTTTGGGACGACAAATTTATTCAAAACAGTTTTTGATTTGCTGTTCTAAGCGAAAAACTTACGAATTTCTTACGTGTACAAAGCCCACGCGGTAAAAATTCATCATGCTTGGATCGTTGTTTACTTGCCTTCAGGGCCAGAAAAGTGCGCAGTGTTGTGTTCAAAAATTCTAAAAAAAACTTCAATTTGACGCAAAATCTTCTATTAAACAATACTTTTTGAAAACATTGTTAATCAAACATAATATTTACCGGGCCATCAAATCATCAACTTGTTGCTAGGCCCTCCTTGAAGTCCAAAAGTTTGGTTTTCACTTTGTCCATAATCTACATCGCCTTAGAGAATTGTAGTGTCATTGACTCGATAGCTTATTCTATCACCTTTAAGACCTTGATATCCATTATTTTCCAAGCAGAGTATTCTATAGCATTGCTACTTTACATTCTCAGTTCCACAAGGTCTAACTCGATTGCAAATGAATGAAAACTCCGACCTGAAAATTTTGGGGGTCGGCTGCATGGACGCCTTATTTTCAAATTTGATCATTGTGGAGATGCATAGAATAATGCCCCTCTAGTACCCCCTAAAGCCATCAAAATATATGTGCATACAACGGATTCTGATTGGTTTATTGATCTCCAAACCATAAAGGAAGTTTTGGGGAAAAACTCTACTTAGTAGGGGATGTAGGGGGAAAGCGTTCCCGCGCAAGCCAATCAGGCGGTTACGGGTGGTTCAGGTGTGAATGTGTTAATATCACCTTAGGTAACATGCTTGTTGCTCTGTCTGTTAAACTGAGTATCTATTTGGATGTCAACACATTGGCTATGTACCTAATGATCTCTATTATCTTAAGTCCTGGTAGGTTTGAAATTTGCTAAAATACAGGCATGGTTACAAAGAATTAGGCAGCAAGTTGTAATGTTTCTAAGTCAATTTGCATGTGTGGTACTATAAGGTATGCCTCTTAGTCACCTGTCTCTTGCTTCTTCAGGAATGTAGTTTCCCCAGCGATGGTTGGTTTGTAGTAACATCATTTGCCAAGGAATCTTATATGCTGACAACGTTTAAGTTCTGAGATTATCTGCTTTCTCAAAAGCAACTGTTTCATTTAGCATCCTGCTTCTTGACCTGGTTGTCTCTGCAATACTGATATTTTGTGTTAGCAAAAATTCAGAGGGGTATTCAAATGCTATTTACATCATGCATTTTAGCACTTTGCTTTTAGGCAAAAAATAAAGGGTCAGCAAGTTCAGTATAGATGCCTGTAATCATTAACAGATTAGTAAACCAGATTTATCTATTGTCCCCAAGACACCTGTGTAATATTTCAATCTGTTTTTTTTTCCCCAAAACAAAATACCTTATTGCATGATATGATTTTCTCAAAGGTTCTTTTCAAAAAATACCTTTGTGCAAATCTTTTTGAGGTAAATTAAGTGTATTTGGAAAAATTTCAAAAACATTAAATGTTACATATACATGAAACTTCTGACATAGCACAAAATGGAGAATACTTATACTCCTGGGGATTGTTTTTGGGCTGAGTAATTATTTATTGTTGACAATTAGTGGAAGTAAGTTAAAAGTATTCTTTGAGCAATTGAAACAAATCACCACCAAAACAAACAAACAAACAAACTAAAAAAACAAAAAATAACAAATTACCAGTAACACAAAGAACTATCAAAATTAACATATTTACTTACATTATCATCAAGAAGAAATGTTAGTCAACTCTCTTACAATAAATTATAGCCCACGCGCAACGTCGTCAAAGAGCAAAAGAAAAGAAAAACTCTGTTGGTAAACATGCTTTTAAACAGAAATGACGTTCACTGTGAACTAGAACCTGAGAAGACTTCAGATATGCAACTTTTATTGCCTAAAGCCATGTGCAAAGAAATACTGAATTCTGAATTTTTGGTCGTAAGGCGGTCCACAAAATGTTCTGCTTGAACTTTCTTTGGAGAGGAGTACAGTTGGGGACAATTGCTATCAGATGGGATTGTTAACTGTATGATGCATGATTATTAAGTTTAAAGCTCATCAAATACAACTAGTAATGATTCAGTCACGATTAATAGCTGTGCTTTCCATGATTATTGATTGCAATAGAACACTCTTTGTGACAAATAATTGTAAGAGAAGCCCTTTGTTGCAAGTAATAATCTTAATCTTAGGATGTAATGACAAAATCATTCAATGTTTCACTCCAGAAATTTAAAAACTCTCTAGAAATTAATAAACACCTGTTCAGTATAGTATAACATTTCTAAACTAACAGGTATTGGCTTCAATTTGTTTATTTCAGTATCAAGTAAACTTATGTTACTTAGTGCAAATTGTACTGAAAATTGTGTAGTTTGATTAGCCCCTGATAGTTTCCAACCAGCAGTTTCCCAAGTTTGAAACCTGAAGTTGATTGTTTGTACAGGTCAGAAAAGTTAAAGAGAACGTGTTTAAAAGTTTGCGAGGTTCGTATAAAACATAATGGTTGCAGGCATTGATATGTCGCTTTAAACGTTAGATGAGATGTAAGCTTAAATCTTTTTAGATTTTTTGTACAATTTGTTGTGACTGAAACTTTTCCAATCCCGTGGAGTTATTTCGTCGCACGGGCCACGCATGTATGTCAAGCAACTGGTGCTTACGTTTACGTAGCTTTCTGTGCGTGTCAAATTCTAATCGTTGCTTTGTATTAAAGTCTTTCACAATATGGCCAAGATTGCAGAGAACGTTAAGTACGCGGATGACCACCAGCAAAGGCTTAAAGAAAGCTTAGCTTTGTTCCGGTTAGCTAATTAAAATCTGAACAAAAACTAATCATCGAGAACATCGTGGAAAGGAGATATGTTTTCGGACAGTTACCGGAGGGGTCTGGAAAAAGTTTAATCTTTCAGCTGCGTAGAGTGTTCAAATTCTTGAGCTCGAAAGGCCACGGATTCTCTTCTAGTCCCTTGGTCATTGTCATTTCACCTCTTTTGTCGGTTGTTGAAGACCAAGTTAAATACCTTTGATCATTGGGAATCAATGCTGCTTTCATTGGGGGAAACAAAACCAAAGACCAAGAAATATTGGATGGAAAGGGTGGGCTTGCTTTACTGTAAATGTCAGCTTAGTACAGGGTTATCTACCACATCTAATAAACAAAAGTTTCCACGTTTAGCTTTTCTTTTTTTTTTTTTTTTTTTTAGCCGAACTCCTGGCAGTAGACAACCGTCTCCTACTTCAGGCTCTCAACATCAAGATGTTCAACAAACCACCCAAACACAGCTGCCTACACAGCAACCAGTGGGTCAGAACAAGACTAAAACCTTCAAACAGTCTGATGCCATTGAAGATATTGTCGCGCCTGTGGCATTGATAGATCCTCTTGAAAGTGTTCAACTGGAGCAGCTTTCATTTGCACCCCAGAGAGAGCCTGTGGTTGGTACTCCTACTAGCCCATCAGATTTTGTGATGGTCCCTGGAGCATCTTTACAAAGCCACAATGCTACCTCTCAGCATGGGCAGTCACTTCACTTGACACACCAACATCAGTTGGCATTGGCAATGGCTGCTCAACAACAGCAGCAACAACAACAACAACAGCAACAGCAACAGCTTGGATTGCAATCTGGCTTACAATCCAGTGGTATTGGCCATCCAAACCCATATTACATCACAGCCCCACCATCACAAGATCCATATGGTAATCCTTCGCTTGCTGCAGTCAGTGGTGGTGCCCATCAGGTAGTCCATCCCCAATATGCAGCCTATAGTGTTCAGCCATGGGGTGTGTATTCTGCAGCTGGAGCATCGGGTACAGGAGGATACCTCCAACAGCAACAGCAACAACAACAACAACAACAGCATGCTCAGCTGCTTCGCTCCAACTCGGGTGGGATGACTGGAAGGCCTATGCAGGGACAGGTGGAAATTATTGGGACTCCACCATCACACCAGCAGCAGGCTATGGCTGCTGCATCTTCGGGAACTAACTATCAGCTAGTAGCTCCACCTGGGGCAGCCCCATTAGGACTAGGAGCTACTGCTTACTATGATCAGTCAGGAAACTTGGTGCTAGGGAATACACAAAATGTCAACAATATGGCAACAGCACAAATGGCAGCTAGTCAGATGGGAGCCCTCAGAATGGTGTCACCAGTAGTGGTGAATGCTCAGAATGCAGGTGCCAACTCTGTCACAGGAGGGCGACTTGGAAATGCCAGCTCAATGGGTGGGGCATCAACTCTAGGGCTGTTTGGACAACAGCAGCAACAGCCACAGTTAAACAGCAGTGCTCTGGGTATGCTTGGTGGTGTTGTAGGAGGCTCTTCTGGAGTTGGAGCTGTAGGTACCATTCCAAGTGGAGGAACTAGAAGAGATTCTATGAATGCTTCTGAATACAGCAAACGAGCAGGAATCACCCAGTACTATACAACACCAGGTGGGGTAAGCAACCTTACAAGTTTGTCCATCTCAGCACAACCATCCTACAATGCTCCCCAGGAGCTGCCAACACCTCCACTACTTTCACAAGGACAGTCAGGGTTTGGTGGTCAGTCAGCATATGGTGGACAGTCAGGCTTCACTGTAGGGAGCCCCATCTCTAATGGGCTCTCTCGTTACATGCAACTTGCAGCTGCCCCCAGAGAGTCTCCTACAAAATATCAGGGGTCACTTGGTGGCCTTGGTGGAATGCAGTATGGCAGCTCAGCTTTAAGTGCTGGCAACTTTAGGGGGTCAAGAGGTAAAGAAACAGGGAGAAGTAGGCTATTGGAAGACTTCCGTAATAATCGCTATCCCAACATCCAGCTGCGTGACTTGGCAAATCACATTGTGGAATTCTCGCAGGACCAACATGGTTCAAGGTTTATCCAGCAGAAATTAGAACGTGCTTCTCCAAATGAAAAGCAGATGGTTTTTCATGAAATCCTCCCAGCTGCTTACAGCTTGATGACTGATGTGTTTGGAAACTACGTTATACAGAAGTTCTTTGAGTTTGGGAGTCCTGAACAGAAGCATCACCTTGCCAACTGCATTCGTGGACATGTGTTGCCTCTTGCCTTACAAATGTATGGATGTCGGGTCATACAGAAAGCTTTGGAGTGTATTTCTCCAGATGTTCAGGTATGATAACCTTTACTAAACACATACAGATCTATGAGATCTGTATGTGTTTATGAGAGATTGTAGTCAAACAATCAGGAAATTTACTTGGTGCCAAACAGGAAAAAAGTAGTCTCGAATTGAGGTACTGAAATGGAAAAAAATTCATAAAGTTTAGGTTGGTAAATTCTATCTGCGCTGAATTGCAGCAAATGTTAAGGTATGATTTGTCCTCAGTTAGATATTCTGATAGATGATGAGACAGAAGAGCACTAATTTATTAAGTGCTCTGGCGGAGAGCAAAGGCTCAAAACGTCAGCTTTTTAACTCCTTATTGAGGCCAGTTTACATTCTCAAAGCAGTTGATGAAACCAAATTACCTTGTTATTCCCACCAACACAGCACCACAGTTTCTTTAGAAACTTACCCCCTTTATTCACTTATTTATGAATATTTATCCCATTCCCTCCCAATATCTCTTTAGTAATTCTCCCTACTGTCTGCTTAAGAACTGTTATGATGCAAGTTTGGAGAATTTAATTTGGGATCAGCTAATAGCCCCTTAATTCACATTCCACTTTATTCTCAGCACTAGTCTGTGATTTTGTATTGATAGTAAAAGAAATTCTTGGTCATTCATGGGAATGGAAGGGTTAAGATGGTTAGTCCCTTCCTTGTTACAGCTTTACAGATTTCTCTTTCCTTACCTATGTGATTGATGTGTTACCCATTAGAATATGTATGAATTTGACTAGCTGGGGTTTGGAGCAACAACACACATTGTCTGTTTTAATTAGCTTTGTTAACTAGCTCTGTTATGTGTTGTAGAATGATCTGGTCCGAGAATTGGATGGACATGTGCTGAAGTGTGTTAAGGATCAAAATGGGAACCATGTGGTGCAGAAGTGTATTGAGTGTGTTGACCCATCTTCACTTCAGTTCATCATTGGAGCTTTTCAGGCACAGGTATTAGTTTATTTTAAAAGCAAACTTGGTTGTGATCTGTTGTCAGGTTTTACGTCAAATGAACATATGTTGATGTCTGTGATGGTAAAACATGCAGAAAAAATTGTTTGGGAAAAAAAAAACTAAAGTCAACAGGACCTATAACCTTTGGCAGCATTAATTGCACAAAGGTTGGTGGAGTTTAGAAAATCAGTGAAGCATAATAATGTTTAAAACCTCAACTAGTGTGAGGTAATCTAATTGGTTATTTACAATGATACAAATCCAAGACTTCTGGTAAGTGAGTTGAATTGCTTCACAATTGTTTGGTAAAGTCATTGATATATTTTCCTTAGGTGTCAAGTGGTTGAAAAATTAGTTTTACTTCCAAAGTTCCTGCTTTGTATTTTGTTTTTTCTTTGATGTTAGTGAATACATCTTAAAATTAATATTGTTTATTATCACCTATCCTTGGAGACCCAGGGGCTGTGAGTCTATTTCAAGTTCAGGGCAGAAGAGCCCCTGGGGACGTTGTCTTACGAGACTAGTTCCAAATGGT